AATGTACAAGCATTTGAAGGCATATGCTCTGGGCGATGCTGTAGCATCTGTGCAAAAATGGAAAAAATTGACCACTCTTACCCAATATTATAGCGTTTAAAAAAATGCTTTTTTCAATACCTTTATCAGGCGCAGAAACAAGCTTCAAAAGCTACATTAGGTATATAACTTCTTGGCCGGTTTCAAATTTAGAATGCATGTAAACATGTCCGCGTGTGCGTTTGTCCATCTGTCTGCGCAGCTGCGTAGTATTTGTGGTGAAAATTCTCCCGCTAGCAAAAATCAAGCTTCCGCCTACAAATTTGGAAAAGCATTTGGAAAGGCTTGAAATTTTTTCAAGGACACATCTACAACGCCCACACGCCTATATCACAAAAACTTTTATTTTGAAAATATCAAAAATAGGCCACGCCCACTCCATACTGTAGGGCATGAAAATTTAGTTCTTTTACTTTTTTTTTGTGTTGGGTATACAAGATTCGGTCATGACCGACTTTAATTTTCTTACTTGTTGTGTTTAAAGAAAATTTATTTCTTCATTATTTCTGTCCTAAATACGTCATTTGTAATTTAACACCATATGCAAAGTCTATACGTCTTTCTTTCTTTCTCCGTCTCACTCCCTCTCTTTCTTTCTCTCTCTCTATAATCTCTGCTTATATTTCAGTTAGTGTTGGCTTTTTTTTTTTTTATGTTTTAAACAGAAATTTCAAAATATTTTTTCTAATACCTTAAAATGTTATGTCAATTTTCTGTCAAGAGCTTTAGTTTCATTTTTTGTTTCCTTCTTTTGCGCTTTTTCTCCAACTTTTTTTTTAAGCATATTTGGTTGCCTTCATTTACGGACTTTCTTGTTGCTATTGTTTACTTTTTTATCTCTCTTATATTTCACACACTTTATACATATATACATATATATACATATATATACATATGTATTCTTTTCCAGTGGCTTCGCACTGTTGATGTTGTTTGGTTGGTTTCTTAAGGTCAATCTGTTCAATTTCAGTGAAAACAATAAATTTCACAATTGCTATTGCAATCGCTGTCATTGTTACTGCTGTTCGGTTTCTCGCCACCATAAACTATATGACTGTCATCATAGGGCTTTTAAGTACTTTTAATGCAATTGTGCAAATATAACAGTTGGCGGGAGATGATGATGATGTGTTGGTCGGGGTGTCATTAAATTCCATTTAAAGACATTAAGATTGTTATTTACTGTACTTAAGGGCTTTCGTTTTAAGATTATTACGCTGAAATGCTTTTAATAGGAAACTTGCTCAAGTTGCAATGGCTGAGATGAGCCTTTCATATAAAAAAAAAACATTTCAAAGAACTGCCACAGTTACGAAAAAACTGGGCACACTAATGCGCTAAGAGCAATATATGGTAAGCAGGTAATTAGACTTGCAGCAAGTACTGCGCAAGTGAAGCCAACGAAATAGACCCGATCGTTATTACATCTCGCAATCATCTACGATATAAAAACCGTGATCGCTCTCCACGTCAAGTAATAAGCCATAGCACATCGTCACCCTGCAAAAAAGCTTTTTCATCGATTGATATAATTACTTAATTGCTTTATAAATCAGTCTAACTTGTAAATGAAATGAAAAGAGACTTTGACTTTCATTTTTCGTTTCATACAAAATGAAGGTTTGCTTTGAAAATGTCTATGGAAATAAAACTCATAGCAGTGGATTTACTTGTTAAAAGACTGCTACGTCTTCATCACTAGCTGCTCAGCAGATGTTCAGTTCAAGAAAAAGTTTCTGAAACATTAGTGCACGTTATTAACATATATAAACAAACACTTTGCACTCGAAATTTATTTGTAATCATTAAGGCCTTAAAAGATTGCAATTTCGATAGAAAAGTGGCTTAACAAAATTTTGTATTTATTTTCCATTTCATTTGAAAGCAATATTCCGTTTGCGCAATCAAATGAACAAAATTTCATTAAACATATTTAATTTGCGATTAATTAATTGTTAAAAGATACACTATTGTGCTCAAGAAGTAAGAATAATTTTTCGAATATGAATGAAAACTTTGCTGGTTACATAGAACCGTTATTAACATCTGACGGAAATTCCACGAAGTTCCATGTAGGTTATGGAATAAAGGTTAAGAAGTAGGATCACTCAAAGGCGGTGTCTCGAGACTTTCAGACCTCAGAGGGGAAATATTAACAATTATGTAGTGGAACACAGGTTAAAAAGTAGGAGCACTTAAAGGCGGTCTCCCGAGGCTTTAAGACCTTAAAGGGAACCATGTAGACGAACAAAGGTTAAAAAGTAGGAGCACTTAAAGGCGGTCTTTGGAAGCTTTAATACCTTAAACAGAACGTATTAAGAATGATGTAGTGGAACAAAGGTTACAAAGTAGGAGCACTTAAAGGCGTTCCCTCGAGGCTTGGAGACCTTAAAGGGAAAATATTAAGAATGATGTAGAGGAACAAAGGGGAACAAAGGCTAAAAAGTAGGAGTACTTAAAGGCGGTCTTTGGAAGCTTTAATACCTTAAACAGAACATATTAAGAATGATGTAGTGGAACAAAGGTTACAAAGGCGTTCCCTCGAGGCTTTGTGACCTTAAACACCGATAAGAAACCAGTAAAGGATGTTGTTCTCAGCAATCGACAAGGTTGCACTCGGGACATTCCAGGCATCATTAAAATATCAATTAAAATAATTCAATTAACTCTCAACAATCATCGCGTCCGTCTTAGTTACAGCAAGCAAATAATTGTTATTTTTTACGTTACATAAAATAACTATAGTTTTTTTTTTTTTTTTTTTGCCCTCATCATAATAAGGTCCAGAGCGAAATTGTCACTTGTGAAAACAAACTTTAAGTTACTCCATCGCGACATTTCCTAATCTAACTTGTTAGGGGACAACAAGAATCATATATTTCTCTTACAACAATGCCGAACTTTTAATTGACCAAATAGAAAATTTCGAAAGATTGTTCTACATTCTGGAAATCACGCAAGCACTGCCAACGAAATTTCAAAATAATTAATAAGTTTAGAATATTATTATCATTATTATAATTAATTTAGAGAATAAGTAGAAATAGAGAATAAATTCTAAGATTAAAATCTTAAAGTACCAGCTTTTAAGGCTATCGGCTTTGTTGAAAACTTTGCCGTACTTGAGATTTGAACTCGCGACCATTATGTCGTTAGTTGAGACTCTTTGCCTACTCGGCACAGAGCACAGTTTTCTGGAACATACTTTTCAGTTTCCAAAAGCATCATAGATTTAAGATTTTTTCGAAGAAATCGATGGAATCTGTTCATAATGTACTTGAATTCATAAATCATCTGACTTGATTAAAAAAAAAAAAAAACAAAAAGATAATAATATAATTAAACCATAAGAATGCAATGAAATTAATTATTTATGACCGCCTGTAGATAGGCAATTTTTTCAAAATTGTTTATTAACATTATAAATGAGCTAAAATTTATTAAGTTATGCATGTATAAGCTTTTTCAGTTTTTAATGAGTTCCCCGCATACACGCATACCTACCTATATATGGAAGCATGTTTGCATTCAGTAAAGTACTAAAGGGCATATTAAATAGTCATTAAATTACTTTAGATTGAAAATAAAATAAAAAAAATAATAAAAAATCGGTTAAAATTTACAAAATTAATTAAATAAAATATTTGTTGCCTACTTTTGTTTCTTTCTTTCTTCTTCTCTTTCTTTTCATTTACTGCTTTTTCCGCTCTCACATGCTTTTATTGCAAACATCAAAACAATTACTACAAACACACGCACACAATTTGTTTTAACTTCAATAACGAATGCATACACGATACGTACGTGCCGTGGCATTCTTTCAACTGATGCCCAACAAACACTGCCACCAACAATAATACATACAATGCCTGCAATATGAACAACAACAACATCAACAACAATATCAACAACAACAATAACAACAATATAAACGATGGTGGTACCTTTGCGTAATTATAATTAAATCTATAAAATAATTACCGCAAAAATGGATACGGAAAATATCTACATGCGTATGCAATAAAAATTATTTCGAACGAATGCTTTTATTCTCATGCTATATCTTATGCATATGTTATATGTGTGCTTAACAATCTGGCAACTCCTTTCTTCTTCCTGACTCGAAACTGCAACAATAAATGTGAAAAATGTAAACCGTTTGTTTACTTTGCACCGCCCACCAACACATACGCAATGCTATACAATGATGTTGCGGTTAATAAACATTCGTGATTGTGTTACTTTGGTACAACAATAACAATAATAATAACATCTCTTATGCATTTACACACATTTACGTATCCATCCTGAGGACTTTTTTTTGCAATACGTACAAATACCCGCCAACATCAAACTCTTCCATGTATGGATTATGAAAATTATCTTAATCATTGAAATATTAAATTTGATATGATGTGCTATACCGAACGAACGAACGAACGAACGAACGAATTGTGTGATGGCAACCCTACAAAACTTATTATGCTCATTTATGATTGATAATGATGCCGGTACTGGTGCTGCTGTGGTCTACGCTTATTTTTTGCTTTTTATGATTTATGATGATGTTACGATTGGTTTATTTACCCTAAATAACAACCGATGCAATTAACCACGCCGTGTTCTGGCGCTACCTTGTTATACTCATTACATTTATATTTAATTAAACACATGTTTACAACATGGATATGTTTACATGCAATGCACACTTGCATGGATCTGCTTCCGCCATTGCTGTTGCCTACGTATTAACGCTGCATCAAAATTTCACATTTGCCGTTTTGTACATTTTGAAATGTGTAATCATACCTGTCTCTCTCTCTCTCTCTCTCTCTCTCTACCGCTCTATATCTTCTTCTTCTACGCGCGCACCAATGCTCCACCTCTATCCCGATTATGGCTCTTCTGAATTATTTAATACTTAATGCACTCTCACGACTTCAAAACAAAAAAATGCCCAGGTGGCCTTTTGGTTTAAGGTTGGTGTTCAATATTTTATATATTTATATATATACATATATATATATATATGTGCACACATTTTCAATCAGTTTCAATTATAAATTTTGCATTTTGCTAGTAGTTATTACTAATAATCTAAATATCAAAAATTACATCGAATGAAAAAATTTAATGCATACTTTTGGGATTTATAACAAGTCGATAATATTTACATATTTTTAGTTCACTTATTAAAATTTTATTAACATAATTAAAATATAATGTACGAGCAATTTTCACAAAATATCCTTAAAAGCACTAATGAATTGGAAAGTGGATCAAATCTCATTTATAGAGGAAGAGATTAAAAATGATTAGAAATTTCCAAATGACTTCCGCTAAAAAATACAAAAATCGAATGCACTTTGACAATGCTTTACAATGCTTTTTATTCCAACTGCATCGATTCCTTTTACGAATCCCCATAGCAAAATCAATTAAATAATATAATAAAAAGTGTTTCTCTCTTTGACAATGGGTTTGACAAAATTTCGCTACTACATACTATCGCCTAATAGGTGTGTAAACATATTCGCTAGGCTGAAATTAATTGCTTTTTATAAAGCGTGGCTGACGCGTGCCATTTTCCGGAAAATTCAGATATTGATGTTCGAACGATGTAAGTCTCAGTTGTTTAAAAGCTATCGTTCATTATACATCAAAGTTTAAAGAGCTGACTATGAAGAAAAAGCATTTATGCCATTGCAAGTTATTCTCTTTTTAACATGGGAAAAAATCCCCCTGAGACTACGGATATGACAAAGCCAACTCATGGTGGCAGTGCAGTAAGTGATAGAACAGTTAGCGAGTGGTTTTGTGAGTTTTCGTGCAAAAAACTTTACTATTTGGAACGGTGAATGCTCTGAAGCTTCTGAATCTTCTCGAAAAGCGTTTGCATTACAGAAACCCAAAGCTTACCAGACGAAAATCCAGCATAGAGTCAAAAAGACTTTGCAACACCATTAAGACTAACTCGAATAGAAATTTCAGTTCGACAACGTAAATTGGGCAAATGTGTTCCTCATTAACTAACCGAAGAGAACAGACACCGGGGAGTTGACATCTGCTCTACGAAATGTAATAAAATACGGATCCGATATAACAATCCTAAATGAAGAATAGTATGGGTTGACACAGGACATCCGTTTCTCATAAAAATGCCAGGAAAGTGATGTTGTGTGTTTGGTGGGACCTACTACAAACCTCTAAAGCCTAGTGAGACAGTTACATGTAAACGATATCAAGACCAACTAATCAATTATAATGAAATGCTGGAGAAAAAAGACCATAAAGGCGCAAAGCAAATAGAGAAAGAATTTTGCCTCTTGACAACGTCCGCTCAAAAGCATTCGAGGAAATAATTTTCAGATTAGACTAAGAGTTTTCACCTTCATACAGGGCATATTCTCCAAGCTTGATGGCTTCCAATTACCGTTTATTCAGATCGATGTAGTCATAGGTAGTAGGTTAGCGGTTCACAGAAGTTGAAGGTGTGCGAAAATGGCGACATTGCGAAGGCATTCAGAAGCTACACGATACATGACAAAGGACTACAGATGATGACAATGGGGCGTATTTCGATTGTTAGGCTTTGTGGAAAGCATATTTTAAATAAAATCGAATTTATTTACACACCTAATACGCAGACAGTAAGACGACTAAGGCAAGTTTCTACGTTCACAAAGCAAAAATTAATATCTATTAACCGAAAGTATTCATCATATAAGTAAAAAATCCAATGATCATCAGATCATCATTACAGTGCACATTTCTCGGTGCTCTTGTCTAAGGAAAGATGAGAGCTTGAAGTATATTAGGCATTCCATTTATTGCTATTTCGTGCTTCTTACGTTTCTGACACATACGGTATTTTCACGCTTAATGTCCACGTGTTAACATGTATGTATGAATTGTTAGCTCACGCTGTTAGAGAACAGTTCGGAATCTCAAAAAAAAAAAAAAAAAACACGCTGATTAGCTTATAAAATTAATGACACTCCCATAACACCAAGGCATGTAAAGAAAGCCTGAATTTTTGTATTACATCCAGTTCTCCATATTTTAAAATCCCTGTCAATCTGTACAAGTTATGGTGTCAATGGCTACATTGATTATATAAGAGCTTAAGTTGAGAAACTGAAGATAAAGACTTTTTATCGGAAAATCATTCCTAGCATTGGCCAACAATAAGAACTTTCCGTGCCGTTCCGCCTTCATGTCAGCGCTACCCAGCCTAACAGTGAAAAACTGAAAAGTGAAAACATAAAAAAGAACAAAAAAAAAAAAACATAACAGTCCCGCAAAAAAGAGTATAAAAGCAGGCAAGTTGCTTGCCCTTTTTGGTAGTCAATAAGCCTTTTGTTCATTTTTTACTTTTCTTCGTTTCTCATTTTTCTCTGTTACTTTGTAAGCAAACAAAAACCGTTTGTTTACGGGTCAGATCTTAAAATAATTATAAATATGCCGTAAACGCGGAGTAGTTTTAAAAAGTGAAATAATTTCCCGAGATTACTGAAATTATGCTCAGAAAAAAAATTCGTATAAAAAAAATCAACCCGTTTTGAAATTAATTTCTATAATTTTCAAAGCTATTATGCATTCGTATTGTTAAAAATTGCTTAAACGACCTTGACATTGAAAAGCGTACGTTTTTTTCGTTATGCATCGAAATAATGTAAATCTTGAACAACGATATCATCAACGATAATAACAACAACAATAACAACAACGCAGTTTGATATTTAAAATGAAAGACAAGAGACAAGACTATATCTGGCTTAAGTCGAATAAGTTGACACTCATCAGCTTAATTAATGTGATTCGAAAAGAGTCTTACGTCAAAGCCAATAATTTTGCTTCCAAGCAGTGACGACTTGGAAACTGAAATTTAAATATAACCTGCTTGTCAGAAAAGGAGTCTGTCAGTCCAGAGCAATTTCCGCACGATTAAACCAGTAACTGAAATATGCCCCAGTATTGGCAGATGAGATGTGGGTCTGCCCTGATTGTTAAAGTCAGTAGAGATGATTCCGGACTTTCTGGACTAAAATGTACCTTTCTGTCCAGAAAAGTAATAACTATGCTCGATAAACTAATTGTTGGTATCATGTTCGATTTTAGCTTCGTATTTATTAAAGTTCCAAACGCTGATGACATTTTTAGTAAAAAAATTTGATCTCAGGAAATCCATTTAGAATGATTAAAGCATACTTCCAGGCATCACCTATACAATGATAAAATGAATAAACCCTCTCGGCGCAAATCTGAAAAAATTTAACAACTTTTGTCATTGTTAAATACAAACACTCCCACATTGCAAACGTCCAGGTGACACGTAATCGTTTCTACTATACACACACACGTCAATACTTAGCACTAACTTTATTTACATTATGTTTACCTGGACAAAAAAAAAAAAAAAAAGAAAAAGAAAAACTCAGATAATTGCTGCATTTGTTTGGGATCAAACAAACTCATAAATGACGAACGTAACTGAATGCAATTGTGTATGAAAATCTAAATTTTTATTTTTTTTTTTGTTATGTTAATAATGGACACATGAACCGTATCATCACGTTCTTTTCTTTTTTTTTTGTTTTTTTTTTTTTTAATTGTTACTGTGGTTGTGAACGAAATTGTAATAAAAATACAATATATAGAAATAAATGGAAAAGTAAACAACAAACCAGTTCAAATAAAAAAAAATAAAAATTAAAAAAAAAAGAAGTAAATTGCTATGTTCGCTTTAAATATCATATGTATGTGTAAGCATACGAAAAAGTCAAACACTTGACAACACCATTTAATTTGCAAGCAAACAATTGTTATTGGGTTTTCTGATATTTTTATATCCACCAAGCAGAGTTTAAGAGTAAATTAACTTTGCTATTGCATTTGTAACATTCACACAGGCACCTCTAAATCTCGTCCTACTAAATAGTCAGCCTGATTATCAGCCTGTAACAGTCAGTCAATGTAATGGTTTACGTCTGCCTTTAACGTTTGGAAAATCACTGTAGATTACCTGAAAAGTTGAAACGCGAACTTTATAAACTCAGTTGATAACAAGCCATCAGACTTGCACTTGATAAAGCCATTCGCACGCCAAGTAAATCCTAAGAGAAAAAGCTTTATGGTATTTATAGAGACCATGAAGCATGAACATTTTCTTTGGGTGGTGGGTGTCAGCGATTCGCCCAAATACGAAAATAGTTTTCTTATTTGTTTATTTTTTGCACAGTTTTTGCCCCTGAAGTGTTTCGTGTTGCTATACAAACGCATACAGCTGAATGGGCGTGCAAGTGTAGAGAAAAGGACGGGCAACATATAAACGAGAAAAGTGTGTACATTTATGGCTACATATTGACGCCCACAATAAGTTACTTCCGGCTGATGTTTATAAGGGAATCTCTCACAATAGCAAATAAATACTAAGGCCCGGTTTGAATTAAAAATAAAAACAAAATAATAATAACAAGAAGAAGAAGAAGAAGAAGAAGAAGAACAAACGAACGAAACAATAATTCATTCGTGAAATTGTTTAAATTTGCATTCTGAGCGAAAGATTTCTACTCCATGCCTTTACTTAGTTGGATGATAATAAATAAAAAAAATTTCTCAATTTTCCAACAATAACAATACAAAATTTCTCCGTCTGACACATTTAAGAAAAAGAAAATTCATTGCAAGATAAATCTGTTTACACTGTTATTATTATTATGGAAGCACAAATTTTATTTGATAGAAACTTTCAATGTTATTGTTGAGTTTCTATCTTATTCTTATAGTCAGTCTTGTTTTCTCATTCTGTTTAAATGTCGTTGAAGGGCAACAAAGTTTTATTTATTCAAAGATTTTCATGCTAATTTTATGACGCCGTTATCGTCATTATTTTTATCGTATAATAAAAAATTTATAACTTTGATCGTAATGGTTAGTTACAGTTGAGTTTTGATAGTCGCAGTAGTTTAATTTGATT